ATTATCCAGCGGATTATCCCAACAATGCCAACTGCGTCTGGCTCATACAGGCATGTCCTGGGATGTCCTTGCGTTCTGCTTTCCTGGTTTATTTTTGAATCGCTGGAAAGACGGCTTCGTTATTTAAGTTAAGCTTATTCAAGCTACTAAAGTTAAGTTATTGAATTTAAGTTACAGTCATGTTACTAAAATTGAATTATGCAAGTTACATAAGTTAAGTTATATATATATGGCATCTGACACCGTGTCGAGCGATTTTCAAAATTGACACCTGAGCTGCCGATTTCTCGGGGGAAAAGGTTTTTTGTTTTTGCCCTGGATTTCCGAGAACAGGTCGGGATTCTAATTTCAAATTATTTCTGGGGTTCAAAGCGCGTACTTTTGCTCATTTCACTCGTGGATTCAAATGTTACGCATATATTGGCATTTATCCCCCGCCTATATTCGTGCACTTCTCAGAACTTAACAGCGCGTAAAAATGCGCTTCCTCCTAAAAAAAAAAAAAAAAAAAAAAAAAATTTGCTGAGTTACTCGAGCTTCGACTTTTCCTCATCCCGTTCTTCTTCGACTTTGCAAACGATTTTATTCGGATTTAAAAAAAGAAGTACAGTTCCGCGAAAGTCCAAGGATTAAAAAAAAAAAAATTCCCGCATTCATCTTGGAAAACGAGGAATTTTCTTTGGTACCACTTCATACCTCCCAAAAACTTTGTACTAACGACAACGCACTGTGATGGCACTCGGCGAATCCATCCAGAATTAATATTTCAGAAGAGTACTCGTGACTAATTTTTTTTTCAACGTAAGATAACAGTAGACTTCAAACTTCAACTTATACCCGCAATAGGCCCGAAATTTTCATACGGAAAAATTATCCGCTCGCGCCAACGGAAGCTCAAAATACTGTTCTTATTAGGGTATTAGGGTTATTAAGGTATTAGAAAAAAATAACAATCACGTACACGATAATAAATATTTATACAATCGATATATAATCGATATGATCGACATATCGTCACCGCCAGGTAGAGAGCAACTTGGGCGTGACCCTGGTGTTCGAGGACGTCCGCCTCGAGGACAGTCTCGGCTGCCAGGCCGACTTCATCGACATCTCCTACGGCCAGTCGGGGCTCACCCTCTGCGGGGTCGTCCAGATCCCCCCGCTGGACACTGGGACGTACCAGGTCATCGTCACGTTCAAGTCCAACTCGAATGTGAACCAGGGTTTCCGATTCCGCATTCCGTACTACACCGACGCATCGACCGGTGCGAAACGCCATTGGATCTTTAATTTATTTTAATTTAATGTAATAATAAATATATCTGCAGTGGCAGATTAAGCCTTAGTCGGGCTCCATCCACGTGTATTTATTTTTTTCATTTCCATATAAGACCATCAGATAATTTTCATATAGATTGGAGATCAGGTGCGCACTCGCTTCATTTGATTAATTGCCAATATCCAATTAGCCAATCTAAGCTCTAACTCTCCGCGCTAATTCTCCACTCATGCAGGCACGGATGCATCTACGCAGACGAGCTCTACGCCTTCAACGGGCACAGACATCACAAGCACGACGGAAGGCACGACGCCATCGCCCGGCAACTGCCCGTCGGATTGGGTCGCATTTGGCTCAAACTGCTACTACTTCGAGATGACAGCGGGGTCGGCTACGACCTTCGAAGCGGCCCGGCACTCGTGCCAGTCGCGGGGAGGGGACCTGGCCAGCATCCACTCCCAGGCGGAGATGGACTTCGTGGCGGGACGCCTGGGGCAGGCGAAGACGTGGATCGGTGCCATGGAGACCGGGTCTGGCGTGAGCCCCGAGAACCCACTCAATTTCGTGTGGGTCGACGGGAGCAACGTGGATTATTCCAACGTCAACGACATCGCCGACTTCTCGAGTGGGGAGAACGGGCCACTTGCCATCGCGCCCGATCGCTGGAAGAACCGCGACTGCAACGACGAACGGTAAGCGGATGATGAGTCTACTAAATGCTGTGAAAACTTTTTGATGATCCTGAATGAATACCGGTGTTATCAATTCTAAAACTGATTACCATAATTTGGATTAATGTCATTTACTGCTCATTTGCTTCTCATCTCGACTCTGACGAGGCTGATTTTCTTACAATTATGATCATTAAGATGTATTCACAACGCCTTATTCTGCACTTTTTATATCATATTTTACGTGGCAGTTTCTTCCTCTGCGAGGGAGAGATGACCAGCTGCCCGCCATCTTGGGAATCATGGCCCGGCCATTGCCTGTACGTGGAACAGAGCACGCTGGCGACGTTCGAGGAGGCCAGGGACCTGTGCTCGTCCGACGGGGATCTGCTCGTCATCGCCAACGACGAGGACAAGCAAGCCGCTGTCGTCAACTTTTTTGACGGCACCGACCCCACCTTCAAGGGTATAAGGACAATACGCTTATAACCGGGGGGGGCTTTAAATGGGCGAAGAATAGTTAAAGTTTACGATTCCAACGATATCGATAAAAACTTATTCACAGTAACAGGAAAAACACCTAAAAGAAAGTACTACATATATAAATTAAATTGCGAAAAAATGCAAAGGAACATATTCCCGAGGGGAACAAATTTAAAATTCATATAAAGACGGGATCATAAGCAAATCCAAACATACAAAATTGGCTGCAGTTCGAGCTTTCAGGCGTGGCAGGACTTCCGAGTCCTTGTGACCTTTTCTTGAAGTTGCATTTTTGTGGCCAACGACGTATTGTGGACGGTTGAATGAGGAAAATTTATTTTGACACCATTCATATGCATAAATTCAGATCTTAAAGGTTTAAAGTAATTGAATGTTATACATTAGTTATTTCTTAAAATTTAATCACATTCTCCAAATAACTCTGATTTTTCAGCATTCCCTATTCCTATTCGTGGAATATCTCTCGACAGGAGCGGAGTTCTGGGTGGGACTGCGATCGAGCGGAGGATCCTGGTCATGGGTGGATGGATCGGGGATGGGCGTGGATCGGTGGGAGTCCGGGTACCCGACCCCGGACGGAGGGCTCTGCGCTGTCATGGTCGCCTCGACCTGGATTGATGACCTCCAGAGCGAGCGCAACGCCTACGTCTGCAAGGCCCCCTCCACCAAAGCCCTCCCGTGGAATGGGGGGGATCTCGAATAAAGAACTCCCGCATCTGGGAGTCTTCGCCGGATTTCTGCGTGGTGGATCATTGAGCATTTCAAGCCCCATTTCCCAACAATTCTTACCATTCATTGAACACTATATTAGGGTTCCCAGACACAAGCTGGAAGCTTGCGATACGCGGATGCAGCTTTCAAGATATGATCAAGAAGAATTGACAGTTCCTTCAACGTCTCAAATCCGGCTTTGAAGATTCTGACAAATTGAATGGATTTGACCGTTCTAGGATGATACGAGTAGACACCGTTAATTCGGTTACTATGGTCCACTAGCAGCTTTAAAAAGATAACCACATATTTAAAGCCGAGCCTATTACCATGTTTTTTTTTAAATCGGTAAAACACCATTTCTTTGGGACTGAAGTCACAATAATTTAATAAGTACTTTGTATATATGCATTGCATACATGTATTTTCATTTTTAGTCGTGCTCAATGTCAACCCAGGATGGGAAAACATTGACCGCCACGTAGACGGTCAATGTGGATCTCTACTCTCTTTTGACCTCGTTCCGTTTCTGACGACGTTTGACTATTCATGGTGACAGCAAGAGTCAGATGAGGTGATTATCATTTATGGGCAGTACACAACGTATACAAATTTTTTAAAATGTCCCAGTGGACTACGAAATAGGTACACAAGGAGAGTCATGAGGGGAACTCTTTTCAACGCTTCATCCCATGGGGTTGAAAAAGACCCCAAAGAGCAAGAGAGGATTAACCCAAAAAGTCTGAAGAATAGTTAACTTATTACCAGTAGATAATAATTGCGCCGGTTCTGTATACATCTTTAACGGGAAACCTTTTTCGTCACAGTTAAGGTAACGACGAGAAATATTGACCCAGATACAAAATTTGACAACTTAAAATAGTAATTCCTTGGCTGCATGTTTTCCGTTCATTTCGGTTCAACCACTTTCCAGTACATTTGAATGATATATTAGCAAAATCCGCGGCAGATTACCAGCACAATAAATTAATGCATTTTTTAAATTATTAATGTAGGTGCTGATTAAACAAAAAAAACTCTCATCCCTGGCCTCATCAAACTGTCCTTGCCCGCTAAGAGCTATGCAAAAGACAGGCGAAACTGCAACCAAGCGGTTCCTGTCGTAGAATGCATCTCTAACCCGCGCGCGAGGACGAAGCGAACCAACACCAAGGTGGTTCCCCCGGTGTTTCCAACACCGGAATGATGCCACTGCCGGCGAAAGGATCCTCATAATGGGTCTTAACCCTTTCGTTGTTTATCCGAGTACACACTTGGGCTGCACACGACGCTTTTACGGTGGTGGCCCGAGTATGTACTCGGGCTCTGAAAGCCAGTCCTTTTAGGTTCTTTCTCCTATATTTATTGAAGTAACTGCCACGTATTCGGTATTGTTGAAGCAACGACATCCTTTTCTATGCGACAGTGCTGCTTTTGTCTATTTACGTGACTTTCGGAAGCATCGTATAACAAAAATTATATAGCGCGTATCTATACCTATCCATTCTGTCAAAATGGTACGCTACTCACGTAGATTTGCGCTAGCTGATGATGGGAAAAATATACATTTAAATGCTATTCTGAAATTTCTAATGTTAATAGTGAAAGTGAAGGCGATATGAAAATGGATGTTGAAGCTGAAATTTATAAGAATGAAGATTATGATGATGGAATGGAGATGCAAGCAGGAATAGGGGGCGAAACACTTATGATGTAACCGAGTTTAGCAAGAATCCCCGTGCAACTCAATAGTTGACCTTTACAGAATCCTGGGGTGAAAATAATTATTCCAGACAACCTCCCTGAGATATACGTTTCTGACCTAATTTTCACAGATGACCCGGGTCAATTTATGAAGTTCCTGGCGCTGTGTTCAAGGAAGACTCCTTGAACATATAGTGACAGAAACATATATCAGGTTGTAAAGGTGAAATTTATACATTTTCCAGAAAACAATTTATTGACAATTAACTCAACAACGACTAGAGTTCAGTCTTGCGTCAATGTATCTGTTGACATCAGACCTAATTTCTAATACAAGTAAATATTCAAAGGTAAAACAATGGAAAAGCCTCTCTGTATGGGAATTTCGTACATTTATTTTTGCACTGATTTTAATGGGCATTACTGCTTTCAGTAAAATCAATTTGTCAATAGATCTCAAAATTCCTGCACTTTCTGATAAGTCAGGCTTTCCCAGGAAATAAATTTTAAACATGTTTAGATCTATCTACAATAGCTTTCAAGATATGATAATTTAAACTTTAACCATAGCTTGCAGAGAAACATGTGTCTCTTATAACATGTGTCGCGAGTGTTTTTTTGGGTGAAAGGGTTAAGGGCATAAGCCACTTTGACCATCCCCACATATGATAACCAAGACTGTGAAATATGGATTCAAGCATATTGCTATTTAATTAGACTCCTTTTTTTTCCTCATGAAGCGTTTTTGCGACTTGGGAGATTGAATTTTTATTTTTTATTTTGCAACAGAACTCTGAGATAATATTGCAACATGAGAAATGTATCCTCGAGGTTAACCTACACGTATCACGCTTTACTTTTTCCCTTGGTTTTCCTTCTAGACATGTGAAGATGCCACAAAATAAGCAACTTTTTCTCAGCACCATCATATTCTTTTGGTGGAAACAGTAACTTTTCAGACCACCAGTCAAAACCACCCCGATTGATCAAAGTAACGCCATTTTACAGTATGCAAAAAAAAAACAAGGAATTATGGCGCTATTCTGGTATTTAAATGATCCAGTGAAAAAAAAAAACACCCTGCTTCTGGCAATTATAAGTAGTACTTCCTATACAATACTATATTTTGAAAACAGGTTTTTAAAAAATGTACGGAAACCGCCATTTCTTTCGAGGGCAACAACGTCTGGGAAACTCCAGTAATCTCCTATTTCCTTCCAACCAGGAGAAGAAATGAAGGATTTGTCATTGTGATTATCCTAACATTACTTGGTAACCAGTGAAATATTGCAATTGAATTAGAATTTTAAAATGTGCCTAGCTCCAAGTCACGGGATGCTCCTCATGTCTTATCTGTAGATAAGAGAGAATTGCACAATTTATTTGAAGTGGCTCCATTTATCTAGTATATAATTTTGGCGAGAAAAAAAAGCCTAATACGTCTAGAAAAGCTGACAATTTTTTCTTTCGAGGATGACACCTGCCAAGGATCCCATTGCGTGAGAAGCGAGACACCTGCACCAATAGGCAGTCACGTAGTCGCTTTGTGTCGATCAGTACTATTCAGCGACACATGGAGTCCCGAGTATTTGCATTATTTCTGGCTTGCCTCCTCGGCGGAAGGGTGTCCAGGTGTCAGGATGAGTGCGGGGGGGTGTTCACCGATCCCACGGGAGTCGTCCAGAGCCCCGGGTACCCCGCGGATTACCCCAACAACGTCGAGTGCGTTTGGTTCATACAGGTCAGCCATTTTTGCTGCATCAACTACTTTCCACTATTTAATTTGGAGTTTCTGTACTTGCAAAAATAGCGGACCAAGAAGGGGGTGGGATTACTCTATAATTAAAAGAAAAACTCATACTAATGCTAAGCAAAGTATTCGACATGCGGCCATGTATTTGAATGGATCCAATACCAGCTAAGCTACTTGCCATTTTTTGAAATCATAAAATAATAAGGAATAGAAATATCTTAATGAACAAATAATGTAACATCAGGAAAACCTCAAGGAAAAATATAAAACAGCCAAAAATGCATGCAGACATTCATGAACGTGGCTCGCAGTTTAGAGAATGATCCAAATTGGAAAGAGACAAATAGGATATTTCCCCGAATGCAAACGTTGAAGGATTGAGCCGAAATGTTAAAACTTTTCATGAGTTCAGAGACAATGAAGAAACCTTGAATAATATAAACTATAGCATCATAAAGACCAAGTGAGTCATGTTATGTGCAATATGCCAACGATAGCAAGGTACGGAAGGGTTGGAATTGAGGAAATCAATTATTTAAGGCCAATTAAATATCATACTTATTAGTACTACACTAAAACAACTACGAAGGCCCGACAGAAAAGTTCTCTTTACGAAATGAGATAAAGAACGTAAAATGTCCCGTGAACCTTTACGGTAGGGATAGACTTTTTGGAGCTTTTTCCCCACGAAGTCTGTGAATGCAGAGAAAGCCGGAGATTAACTCTTCCCTTTGCTTTTCGCCATTGTCAGGCTTTCGGGAACCGGGGATTCCGCCTCAGGTTTCTTGGAAATGGGGGGGGGGGGTTTGACATAGTTGGCAAATCCGGACCCTATGCCTCGAGGAATGCAAGCGAGACTGAATTTCAGATTCACGCTGGAAGAGGTTTCCTTCAACTTTTCTTTTTCAAATGACTACAAACTTCATCAGACCTTCCCGTGATGGGAAGGGACCTATCTCATTTCTTTTATAATATTCAGTAAAAAAAAAATATATTTAACAAAATATATCAGAGCTTTCACCCAAGATATGGTTTTTGAAGTGCCAAGAAGGAACTCGAAAGACGAGTACACAAGGCAACATATTGCTCGAAGGCAACGCACATCCCTTTCTTCTCATGCAACTGGAGCAGAAATTCAACTTCAGGCAATGACCGGGAAGACGCAGAAAGGAACTTCATTAATAGCAATCGGAAGTGACATTTTCCCCCTTACTGCGAATAGAGAGGCGACGAGTCGCACTCCACTCGGAAGACCTGCACCTCTCAGGCTTCGTCTCGCGGCTCCCATCATGCCCCTGTTTGACCGGGCAGTGAGAATGAAGCATGTGATCAATCAGAAACGAGGACTCCGGCACAGAAGGGCTCCTCTCCATTAATCTCTTCGAGAAGGCTCTGTCTATCCAACGTCAAGAAGTATCATCACGATGCTCGACTGAAGGCCATATCATCAATCCTGCCTTTTTCGCTATGCCGAGCGGAGGCCACCATACCTCCTCTGTGCATTCTGCATCAGCGACTTCGCTGCCGTTAGCGGCTGGATTGAAGCTGCCTATTCATATTTTCTTTCTTCTCTGCGCTGATACATCAATATCGCCTTCCATTTCCAATTAGGTCGGCTCATGCAAATTCACCCAAAAATAAACCCGCCTTATTTTTTAAGTATGCTTGCTCATCTGAAATCGTCCCAAAGTTAAAGAATTTCGGGAACAGGTACAAGACGGCCTCGGGGTGACCCTCGTGTTCGATGAGGTGAACCTCGAGAATAGCCTGGGCTGCAGCGCTGACTTCATCCACATCTCGTACGGGGATGCGACCTTGACCCTATGCGGAAACCCTAGCCTTGACCCGTTGGACACCGGCTTGTCCCGGATCAACATCGTCTTCAAGTCGAATGCCGACGGGAACGCGGGGCACCGATTCCGAATCTCTTACTTCACCGATGGGACGACTGGTAAGTACACAGTAAACCTTACCATTAAATTATTTTCATTAAAATTGAGAAAAGAACAAGTAAAATGCTTAAAATGACCAGATGAAAAATGCTTTATATGACCATATAAATGACCATTAAAAAAATTCTTTAAATGACCATATATTTAACTCACATTTCCTTGACCTCCTTAAAAGACGAAGGCAAAGGAAATGTGAGTTAAATATGGTGTAATCCAAAAGGAATCGACAAAGGGGTAGGATTTAAATTGCGGGATCTAGAACTCCTTCATTTTGCATTTCGTCAACAAGCACGTAGTTTCCTTCGAGTGGGATTACTTGGAAGTGCAGGGGGATTAAGAGGATTTAACCCTGAGAGTATGCTTCTCCTGACTAGCGTACAATCTATTTTGCGGCGCCAAAATACAGGGTGTTTAAAAATTGCAACACTGCCAGATTCGACAATTCTTGTATGATACAGACCCGAATATAACTCTAGCTCCTTATAAAATAGCTCCTTGAATGCAAATTTCGCAAAATAGCACGCTTTGAGCAGGGAACGCATGGACGACAAATTCCAGCGATTGCATGGTTGATTGCTATGCTGATTACGCTACTTGCGGTGGTTCTCTAGCGTTAATTGTGTCTTTCGATATCTCCAATCAGTATAAGCTGATTTTCATGCGCTTTTCAGCAAAAGAAGTAATCCTTTTTCAAACCCATTAAATTCTCTTCTCGGCTTGATATATTGAATACAAGAAAATCAATTCTTGGGATTTTCATGGGAACTTCTATCTCAGACTCTTTTAACGACGCCGAGTACTCAGCTTCACTTTTAGAGTTGAATTTACTTTGCACAAACGCTGGCCCAGCGCTGATTGTTCTCCACTCAATAAGGAACTGGGGCAACAACAGACTCAACGTCTTCAACTGACCGGACGACGGGCGACGGAAGCGACTCGACGTCGCAATCGACTGACGGGACGACGCCGCTGCCCGGCGAGTGCCCGTCGGACTGGGAGGCATTCGGCATCGACTGTTACTACTTCGTCACGTCCGCGGAGGCGGCTGCGACGTTCGACGAGGCGCAGGACGACTGCCAGTCGCTGGGCGGGAACCTGGCCAGCATCCACTCCCAGCCAGAGATGGACTTCGTGGCGGGACGCCTGGGGCAGGCAAAGACGTGGATCGGCGCCATGGAGACCGGGTCTGGCGTGAGCCCCGAGAACCCACTCAATTTCGAGTGGGTCGACGGGAGCAACGTGGATTACCACAACGTAAATGATATCGCAGAGTTCTCGACCGGAGAGAACGGGCCACTCGTCATCGCGCCCGATCGCTGGAAGAACCGCGACTGCAACGACGAACGGTAGGTGGATAAAGCCAGACTAAATGCCGGTATTTTCACATGAAGAATTCTCGACAATTTACTCGCGCACAAGAAAATTTATGACTGGGCGAATTCAATTAAAGTAAATCAATTTAACTAATGCCACATAAGAAAGATCCTATTAATTCTGATTCAACTCATCACATTTTAATGGATCAGTCCCCATCTGCCGATCAATAGACACGTGGTGACTCTCCTCCTTAAAGGGAATGGAAGTGAATGGGATAGGGGAGAGTGAGATGAAAGCGGGGGGGTTGCAGATGGCGGTGGGATGAGGGTGGGATGGAGGTGGGATGGAGGTGGGGTGGAGGTGAGGTGAGGTGGGGGTGGGGTGGGGGGTGGAGGAGCAGAGAAAGGAAGACTTCAACTGAAGTAGAAGAAACCCTACAGAACTTCCTTCCTCGCAACTATTAATTTGGGTGGTGCAGGGAGAGCGTCATTGATGATTGTGAAGTCCTGTATGGACATGACGGTGCTGCAGAGAGAGATAATCCAAGCTGAAGCCGCGAGCATAGGAAGATTCATCTACACAAACGAGGTATACTGCGCGCTGAAAAGACAGTCACTGACGAAGTAGCTGAGCCAGCCCATGTTGCCAAGCAGGCGAGATTACGCCTGGAGGAGATTGGTCTAGACAACGATGGGATGAAGGAAAGTTTCAGCTTCACGGCTGACTGAAAATCAGCTGCATCGTTAAACTCTGTGAGCATTGTGGCGTGATGCTGCGAGAGCTTCATTATATGGAAGTTCCATGAGTACGAAATCCGTAAGGGTTTCTGCGAAGGTTTTAGGAAGAAAGCGAAGCGAAGAGAGAACTTTCTCGGCGATGCAGAGGGCGCTGATACACGAATGTGGTGACCCTAAGCCACGCCGACATCTGTCAGTATTTTGTTAATGAATTTTACTAATTATATGCTTTAAAAATCTCGATTAATAGCAAGGCTCGTTTCCGTTATTTTATTTTCTCTGGAGCGTTATCTACTTCTCTTACTTTTCTTTACAATGCCTTACACTTTATCGTGGACGACATCCTCCAATTCCTCATGTATTTATTTTTTTATTTCCTTATTTAATGCTTAATTCTTTAATTTTCCTGGCTTAAGTTCCTCGTGTATTCTTGTTTTGATTAAGGTACTTCATCTGCGAGGGAACCATGAGCAACTGCCTGCCAGGCTGGTCGACAGCGACAGGCTACTGCCTGTTTGTGGGCCAGAGCAGGCCGAGAATATTCGAGGACGCAAGGGATCTGTGCGGGTCTTCGCCCAACGCAGACCTGCTCGTCATCGGCGACGATGAGGACAAGCAAACCGCCATCGTGAGCCTTTTTGGCCTCACTGACCCCACTCTCAACGGTACATATTAGTCAATAACTGGGAATTATTTCAAACGAATGCACACTATTTTCAATTGCACTATTAGAACAGGATGGGGGAAATGGGATGTGAATACTGTGAATTAACAATAGTTAATTACCAGATTATTCTCAGTTTTCACTTACCATACATGCATTGAAGCTTATTATAGTATAAGTGACTCATCAAACACGAGTGGAAAAATCTTGGGAGAATTCAAATCTGAAGCTCAGAAAAAAGTAAATGCAGTCAGACGCCTTACGTTGTGTGAGTCTTTTTTAGTTTAAATTTTCTATTGTTTCGTCTCTATCGTTCCACATTACAAACAAGAAAGCATTTAAATCTATATTTCGGAACACCATGGATTGATTTCATCGTTAACTCAATTACTTGCTACTTTCCTTTTCAATTTCATCCCGCTATTCCATAGAGTACTTATCCCATTCTTAAATTGTTCCTCGTGTCGTTAGGATTCTACAGCTTCCCCTAATCTATGAATAATATTTGGAAAGGGTCGGAGTACTGGGTGGGACTACGGTCCCTGGACGGAGGATCGTGGTCATGGGTGGACGGATCGGGGATGGACGTGGATCGGTGGGAGTCCGGGTACCCGGCCCCGGACGGAGGGCTCTGCGGTGTCATGGTCGCCTCGACCTGGATTGACAGCCTCCCGACCGAGCGCAACGCCTACGTCTGCAAGGCCCGCTCCACCAAAGCCCTTCCGTGGAATGGGGGGGATCCTAAATAAAGACTTTTCATAGCTGGGGAGCTACACCGATACTTGGATCTTTCAGTTTCGTTCTTCATCACATCATGTGACTTTTCATAACACCCAAATGAGAAAATTATGTGGCTTCCTGATAAATACGATTTGGGATTTTTAGATATCGTCATGCCATGACTCTCTCTTCACGTCTAGATCTGACTCCTTTCCCAAGGTTTAAGGCAAGAACAGGTGTGGGGATGGGGAGTAATTAAAGAGTCCGGGGTTGAGGGAGGAAATTGGAATTTAAAAAATTGCATTCTTGACATTAAGCAGGGTTGTGCCGGTCGCCGATATGGCATCACCTGCACAATCGACCGCCGACAGGTTTTCACAAAGTCCCCCCCTCCCCCCCTCCTCCCTTCCTACTAATCTCTCTCCAAAGAAAAGGAGCAGGTGCCCTCTTCCAGATAAAAAAAGAAAAGAAAATCGCATTAGTACGAGGCATGATTAGATCTCACTCCGTGACGGAGCCCCGACTCAAATGACGGCGTCGGAGGACGTCTTGCAGGCTGCCTTTCCAAGAATGCCTGGGATTTCCACTTTCGAGCCAATGCGATAGAATAATCGAGTACACGATTCGTTCTCCAATAAAACTCGTTAGTGCCTCCAGCGTAAAAAAAAAATTATTTAATTAATTAAATAGTACGGAGATTCAGCGTCAAGAACCTCATAAGCTAACGCGAGGAAAGTTGGAAAAATGTTGAATAATACCTTGGCTTTTCTTCCCCCTTATTTGCAACAATTGGCATCGCCACCGGCCGATAATCGGCAATCGGCCCGAGACCAACATCGGTACAGTCCGATTAAACGATGATTAAGAATAAATAAATAATTTTTTTTAGCCGTAAAGTCTTTGGATGCAATAGCAGTACGCTATGTAAACCCTCCAAATAAAATTATCCTGTTGCTATCACTGTCACCAAAAATCTCAATTTTAGAATTCAAATTTTCATGCAAAAAAAATTAAAATTTTAAATATTTTTTATTTATTTAAAGAATAAATGAACACACAATATATGAAGAGGTTCACGAAGCAGGTGCAAAGAGCTACTATTCCTGTTGCTTAATGACCTTGTAACTATTTCCCAGGCGGTTATTCCACCTGGAAAATAGTTACGAGGTCATTTGTCTGGAGGTTTATTTGTCTGGAATAGTTTTTTTTTTCTCCGCTTCTTCTATTCCTGGGAGTATTTTTTTCCCTGCGTGGCTTTTTCTCTCAGACCCAAAGAGGAGCCACTGGAAACCCTGGATTACCTCAGGATTACCCCATCCACAACAAGATCATTCAGATCTGCCTATTTAAATTTACTTAAGACGTTCCCCATTTATCCCATTTCCTGATGGGCACACCGACTTTAAAATTGCCAGAACTATGCAAAGGTTCCGTTATTACCGGTCAGTACCCCTGCAGAATTTTCATTTTTGGCTCATAATTAACGATATTTTAATTATTAGCAATGTTCCGGAATGTTTTGTGCCACACTTTATACAGCTGCCACAAAGACAAGTCCAAATTTCATTATGTTTCTCATTTCTCCTTCATTCCCTGACCCACTTCCCCTGTGGCCCCCCCCCCCCCGGGATGAGCTAATGACGCAAGCTGCATTCATCTGGTCTAAATTAATCACCAGCCGCCAAAAGGGATTAGATTGCTCTCGCGACGGGAACCAATTCCTCGACGAGCCGGAAAGTTTTGAAGATGATCGCAGGAGAAAACTTGCACCGCCCGCTTCATGAGCGTGCGGTTACGAAACCGGGACGAAATTAATTATTTTCACAGAAAGAAGTATCGCCAAATATCGATCAGACAAGGGGGAAAATCCGCCAAAAAGTTTCCGCACCTGCCATAAACCATCACGGGGCCGATATTCCGAGATGGAAATAATTTACTTTGGCAGGCGAAAACCGTTCGGGAACGAGCGCAAATTGAGCCGGAGTGGCAGGGGGAAGAAACTCGAGAAAGCCCCCGTCAACAACCAACTGTCACTCCTCATTTCCCCAGAGGAGGAAAAGGAAACAGCGCAGAATTCGAGGAATTCCAACGGATTTACCGAACGGATGAGGATGAGGATGAGGATAAGGATAAGGATAAGGATGTGGACTGAGTGCATGTAATGCACAGTTCCGCGAATCCGACTTGAAAAAAAATAAATACATTTTAAGGCGAAACTCCAAGAGGCACCCCGAAACTTTCACACAATAAGACCATCCCAAAGGGACAATGCAGCTTGAAACTTCCTCGATGGAAACCGTTCGCTCATGCAGGGGAAGACGACGAAAATAGTTTTTCTCAAAAGATATTTCTCCGATCTAACTGAACTAGTTGAACTCGAAAAAAATCTAGGCTCTCAAGAAACACATCCTTTTTAAGGACGGACCAGCCCAAGAAAACAACCCAAACGAGGCAGGAACGATGCAAACGATCACGAGAATCGATGAAGCAAAAAAAAAAAAACCCAAGCGCTGATTGAGCCAATGGAGCCGCGGAGGGTGTCATCTCGTTACGCGATGCTCCACGTCTCCCCCTCTCCCCCCTATTCCCATTCACCCCTTCCTCGTTATCTTCCTGGTGGAGCCCACCGGGCTTAGAGCTTTCACCCGTGGAGCTACCATCCCATTCGGAGAAAGGGGGAGAAATATAGTCAGAACGAGATTACGACATCCCAGAAGAAGTTCAATACTGGTAGTTACAAGAACGAGGTTAGTCACGCCGATTCTCCAAAGTTCGCGGTCATGCTATTCTTAGCCAACAATCCAGGAAAGTTTTCTTTATGGTGACTGTCCCGACCTGTAGTTGCAAAGCCAATTCAACATAATACCAATTCACTTCCAACTTCATGACAATTTTTCTTCCCGAGATGACCATGTCTCGCTCATCCCACACGGAGAAATTCATCACACACGAGAGAAACAATGACTAGTGCGACTGTTCAGTCTAATTTTGATTAGACTGGACAGTCGCACCAGTCATTGTTCAGAATTTGTTCTGATTGGAATAGCAATTTCTAGGACCGGAAAGCAAATCTGTTACATTTAAAGCCGTCGTACTGGAAGGTGAAATAGGGGAGGAAGAAGACAACCTGAAAGACGCAGGGCAAAAGATCTACATAATTATAATTATTTAAAAATGTATCAATTAAATTTAAAAAATTAGGCATGTGAAAAGGAAGAAGCAATAAATATTGAAAAAGCACTCAAAGCCAACACAGACAGCAAATTAAAGCAATATTACAGCAAACTGAGAACAACAAAAAAACTAACCAAAAAAAAGTGAAAGCAGCAAGATGTGGATACACAGTCATTGAATACAGAGAAATCTTCAACCAGATAAAACTTGCATTTTCGATGTGCCAAATTGCAAGGCTGGGTTTTAAAAGGCAGTCCATGAGACCTGTACTAAAGTACTGCTTTGCAGAAAAACTCTCCCCGGCAAGGAGAGGGCCAAAGGTGCCCTTTCTGCAGAGCCCAGACTGCACACTCTCATCAACAATCCCTGCTATTTTCGCCCACTGCCCCCTTCCTCTGGGCCTTTAGTAGCCATGACGCATGTTTTTATGCTCAAGTGTGGGATGAAAAGCCATAAAACGAATCTGCACCGATTCTTCCAGCATGGAAAACATCATCATTCAATCAGGCCTCTGAAAGGGTTTTGGAGGGTTTCTAATCTACAAAAAGGTTGTGATAAATATACTTGGCATTTGATACAGAAAAAGAAGGCATCTGCTGTGGATGACTGACACATGCAACCAACTTTTCCAGAATTGGATTTCTTGGTAGGCACAAAAACACCAACCGGCAGAGTCCGAGAAGCTCGGATGAGTGACTCGACCGAAAGAAAGAAGCAGCAGCCTGATTAAAAAGGGCACCCCAAGTCAAAACAATTTTTTTTTGCTTACTCATACATAATACACTACACAGACTAAAAGCAAATGCCCACTCATGCAGAGTCGCTCCTGCGACGCACGACGCATTAGCACGGGTCCGACCTTCTCGGATGACACCCGGTCCCATCCGGCCCATAACTGCCTCTGGTATGGGGTAACTGCATTGATTTAGCAGAATAGCTCACTGCTGCCAGACATCCTTTCCCTAGTTTGCAAGTCACTTCAGTCCACCCAATTTAGGTGCCTGGGCAGGATGCAAGTTGCACATGCAAGGAATATCAAGGGTGAAGCAGGGGATACTTCCTTGCCAGTAAGGTCTCTAGATCTGTGGTTCTCAACCTGGGAGGTGCCCCCCCCCCCCGAATGCATGAAGGTTCAATGGGAGTAAAAGGAAGGTTGAGAACCACTGCTCTAGATGCACAGTGGCAAACAGATGTTTAAGACTTTTTTTTTTTCAAAATATGAAAATGATCTTTATTGTAACTCAAAAAGATGTCAACAAAATACCTACATAGGCATTAAACAGCAAAGAAATACCATTTAAATTATAAAGACTGTGTTGTGGTGCATTTATGCGTGAAAAGCTTGTAAAAGTTTTCATGGTTTTGTATGCCATTTTCATTCAGAGTATTGATGTAAAGGGCTTGAAAAAAATTTTAAAACAAACAAAATAACAAAAAGAATAGCATAAATTATACGCTATTTGCATATGATTGCAGGGCTCCTTTACTTAGGAGCAGTCACTAACAATAAAATTGTTCTATTCCCATCTTACTTCTTGGATATGATTCCTCAATGACCTATACGTTCTGTAAACTGAACGTTACAAACAAAATGAAACATTTTTGTAATTTCAGATTGAATTACTTCAGTGCACCAAAAAGCTGAGAGTAAGGCTCTGGAAGAAACAGATCAGGCAGGGATGCTTCTCTGCAAAAACTGGAAGATCTAGAAGATTAACAAAGAACTGGATCATTCCAAATGTGCCACTCACAGAGCAATCAAATTGCAGAAAGAGACAAGATGATCCAAAGGCCGGAAACGATATGGTGCTTTGATGACAATCGCTCCAAAGCAACAGAGAATCAAAATTTGAAAATTTGAAGGTGGTGGCTGTGGATTTAGGTTGCAATCTGGCCATCGTTTGGGATAGTTAGAACTGCGCTGCATAAACCTAATGAGAGTGGCATCACGGGATGAACTGCAAGAAACCCTATTTATGGGTGATCAATGTAGCCATGCCAGGTGAGAATGGGGAAGTAAGACTGGACTCAGTTGAGCTGGAAAATGGTCCTCTGGAACGATGAAACCAAATATGATCACTCTGAAAGTGAATGCAGAACTGACAGATGTTGCCCCAGTGAAAAAGAGTTTGAAAAGCACATCAATCTGATGGCAAAGCACCAAGGCACAGAGAAACTATCTGGAAACGACAAGTTCAACTTCAGGCAAGATAGCAACCCAAAAAATTTCCCTGAAATGACATAAATATGGGCGGAAGAACAAAACCTCCAAATTGCGGCACAGTCCTCACAAAGTCCGGATTTGAACCCAACAGAGCTCCTTGGGAATTATGTAGAGCATCAGCTGAAAGGGAAGAAGCAAAAATACTGTGATGATTTTCAGATAAAAGGAAAAAGGGAGTGGAAGAGTGTGGGCTTTGAATGATGCAATGGAGATTGGACCAAGTATCAGAGCTGCCATTATGAATGATAGATAGTGTCTTTGCTGTTGTATACCTAGGTTGGCATTACATTTAAATTTTGCCGAGTTTAAAAAAATATCCCAGACTATATTTTTTTTTCTGTCTGAAACTTCTGTCTGCTGCCACTGTATATGAATCACATGAAGATTCTTTGTCTGTTGTGGAAGCACAGGCATCATGCATGCTTCCATTGCATGCAGTATGTAGCCAATCACATATTTAATGCTACTGATGATACGACTAACGTGCCAGTAAAACAGCTAATGATCCAAACGAGGCCTCGCGAGACTCACATTGGGATCCTTCGCATAATACAGCTTGTGACCCTTGAGGCGGAAGTAGCGTCGGTGCCAGCGCTGGAATGAGGTCGTCTTCACCAGCCATCCTTCCCGGGTCGAAACCTAAATGCACATCGATAAAGATGCTTCAGAAGTAATTTAAAAATTTATCAATTTTATTCAGGAGTCCAACCAATGAGAGATGTGACATAAGTTCTGCTCGCTGCACATCCTACATGCATTTTTGCCCTTCACCCTGCACAGGCCAGAGCTAACCGGCTGGGGTTAGGCTAGGGCATGCCTGGGGCGATGCCAAAGGGACAAAAGTTTATGGTAGTTGAGAGCGAAAGGAATTCATTCTAGACCTAGGCTTTATTAAAAGGAAGTGGAACACTTTTCTAGGTTAACCTAAACCGAGGCCTATCCTTGGCTTCAGTTTTTCTCACCGATGATTTGATATCCTTATTAGTGGAGAGCTTCCTAACGAAGGACTTGGCGGGTTCAAGCTCGGTCTCACTCTCTGACGAGTCCTCATTTGTGGATTTCTCGGGGCCCGGGCCACGAAATTTCTTCTGTGTGTACAGCCTGATCGCGGCCATGACACGGCACGGACCTAGTCGGGTTCCCGCGGGACCGACCTGCCCGGTCTTCACCGGGACCGCGGGACACGGAGAGGCCGCGAATGCGCACCGACGCACCTCGTGAACGGGCATGAGCGGGTTCGCAGGACTCCCGCGGGACGAAATTGCGGTGAAGCCTCGGATTCGGGCGACCTCTTAGGTTCCGTATCGGCGTCGTCTGCTACTGATGCTCTCTTCGGGGAACTCTCCCGTACAAAAAGTCACATTGCAATGCGTATTCTGAACTTCTCTTCATAACCGTGCTGCATGCTTGCGCTCGGGAATCCCGCTCTGTCACATCCGTTCCATTTCCAACATAACCTGCTCGGCCCCGATTGTATTTTGCTGTTCTCACTCTGACAGGAGAGAACTACACGCAGTGGCGTAGCGAGGGGGGGAGGCTTTAGCCCCCTCAACTCCGGTCTAAATGCATCGCCCCCCTGGGGGGGGGCCCCTGGACGAGGAAAAGTAAGCCCCACCGTTCCGCTTAGTCCCCCCATTGGCGAAATCCTGGCTACGCCACTGACCACACATACACTGTTTTCAGCTCGAATCTGGTAAGGAGCGCTTCCATCGAATGCAGGTGGTGACATCTTCAAAATAAGCGGATCAACAGGAAGTCGTGCCTTCGTCCTCCACTGAGAGGGGGGGAGGCGCGCATTCAAACCGAAAGTAGAGTTCTGCACCGTATTCCTTTTCTTTTCATTTCGAGATTTACATGATGAGATTCATTTTTTTTTTTACCTGACACACTTGATCCAGGCATTGAAGTGGAAGTGCGTGCTCAATTTTCCTCATTCCTGCTCGGAGAGAGAGATCGCTCGATCCAGAATTGCTGGAGCATCAACAACAGCTCACAGTCGGTAAGAAATCGGGATTCCCTCAATTTTCCGGGTGTGACCCAGAGTTGAAAGGACATATTTTTTTTTTTTTTTTTTAGAGCGTTGAGAGATGGATCTTGGTGCGTCGTAAAGATCCTGCTCCGTGAAGATAAGCATGCCTGATGCATCACCGTTCCCATTTTTATTGCCTGAGACTGGAGAGAAGGGATGTAAAGGATGATGGACAGCCGAGCAGCCGAGGAGGACGGAGTAGGAGAAAATGGATCCAAAAATGTTCTCCGTCTGAATCCAAATATCTGGGGGAAAAAAAAAAACTGCTTACGAGTTCACTGGAGTCTTAGTAACGTCGTGGACTTGAGCGGGGATGCTCAACCACGACCAAACACGGTTGTCAGAATTTCACAAAAATTATTTTGAATGTGCAAAGTCATTTCGTTTATGGCCTCTTAATTTTAGCTTAGAGCTAATTTTATGCGCAGGAAAAAGTCATCGTCCCCTGCGACCCAAGAAAAAGCTCAAGCAACCCTGCCTCGAGCAACCCTGCATTGAGCATCCCTGCCTCGAGAACCGCCACAACAGTGTCAATCCGTTCGCGTTTGAGGAAACATCCACTCCCGGTTGTATCCCTTGTGCTCGTTCGACCGCCCACACGGAAGTAACCCCCAACCGCGTTTTTTGCTTCGCTTAGGCTTCGTGCGTTACTTCCAGTCTGTTTCCTTCGTCTTTGCGGGGGAAACAGACCGGAAAATTTTCTTTTGTTTGCAAACAAAGGGGGGAAAAATTCTCGGTGGCTTTCGTTTTCCATCTGAAAAGACTTCCGCGTCTCACACCGACGTACACCAGAGTGAGGAATTAATTGAGGCAAGAATAGACGCGACAGAATGCGAGGATTGAAGTCATTTCTATTTTCTGCTCATCCCCCTTCACCCCAAGATGAGCGATTTCTCACGTCGCATTCCGATGAGGACCGTTTCGACGCTGACGGGGAACCGACCATCGAGCATTCCAAATGACTCAAGGAGCATCCATGAGTCCGTTCTTAGTTTAGTCGACGCTTCCAGAAATGCCTCCTTAGGATCCAAGCGAAACGGATATCGACGGAAGACTTCGCGTCTCTTTTTGGTCGCGCGGCGACCGAAACTAAGGTACCTGCGACCGACGCGGGGCGTATATGAGTGGTAGGGTGGAGGATGCAAGGCGGCGAAGAGTGGAAGAGGTCGAGCGTCCGTGGCCACGAGGGCCGGATCGAGTCTCCCAGGGTTGGATGGGTCTTCACGAGACGGCACGGGGGAGGGTGGAGGTGGGCGGGGGGAACGGTAGGAGGGTTTGCTGCGATTCCAGTGCAATTCGTGGGTCTGGAGCAGGGGCGGGCTCAGGGGTGGGCTGACTCAGGCTCGTCAGCTGTTGCCCTGCAGCGACGAAATGCGACGATGACAGCTGTACAAACCCTTGGGGCGATGGGGCCCCTATCCTGCCCTCCCGCCAATGAGAGCCCTCCTCTCAAAAGAAAGGTCATCCCAGGCCATAACGGGCACACCTGACCTTTCATGAGCGATCTCAATGCCTCAGCAGTTTGACCTCACATCAAGATTAATGATGGCATCGGAAGGGAGGCAACAGTAATATTAATTTTAAAATACCTGGAGGAAAATTGTATAGCAAACTTTATTCCATTCATTAACGTAAATGCGATCATGAAAAAGTCAGACACCACAATGGTCTTCGACCTAAAACGCGTTTAAATCTCCAAAATTGCATGTATCTTGTAATGACATGCACTCAAGGCCTGTAAAAAAAAATCAAAAGGGAAGCGAGAATTGGATGAGTCTCCTCTCTCTGTTAGGTTGTTGATAGAAGACCATTCCTTCTTACTCAATACTTTTTTTTTCAGCCGTAACGAGTAACCCATTCCTCAGAGAACCTTTCAGAAGAAGCGTCCGCTAGCGGGAATGGATCAGGCCCAGAAGGCTTCACGACCTTTTGTCCGCATCGGGCCAGCCAGGGTCGACTGAACGCGATTGGCTGGAGGAGCGGAAAAGGAGCCCCATCGCGCCAAGGGTTTGTAAATGAGCCACCCGTCCCAGCACGACGATACTGACCCTTCCAAGGGCTCAAGCTCGCTCAAACTAACTACTGTAGTCCAACTAACTAAGTAACTAATTACTGTTGCCCGCGAGGGCTTCTGTGTTTGCCCACCCCTGATCTGGAGCTTATTCTGCCTGATAACTTTATCGTTTCGGGTCGAACCACGCCATATCACCAGCGCTGACGCATGCGGGCAAGATTAGCCTCTTCGGATCCTGTGGCATGTACACGTACCAAATATCAACCTTTTGCAAAAATCCTGATCAAATCACTTCTGCATCAGGAACCACGCGGTATGCCATAGTAGGGTTAAAGATAAAGAAAGAAAGTTAAAAATTATCCTCGCCTCATTGGATTCAGTCTGCATCACAGCAGAGGCTTGTGAACTTGATATTTCTTCCGCGTTGTCTCCGACCATAAAAGCTCTCGTCGATTGCTCGATATTAACCTCATAATTAGGATGCACGATGAACTGCATTGGCTACGTGTGGGGAATCTATTTATAATTAAAGGGATAGCTGACTTATTATGGAGCTCTAATGGGATTAGTAAAAAAAATTGATGGCATCAACACATGCCACGAGGCATTGCGCCAGTAAATTTGCGTTTCAGTGTCAAATTGCACGGAAAACCTGCCTGAGATTTGTTCGATCCCTCCCAGCGCCAGGCTGACGAAAACGAAGAGAAAAGTCAGAAAGACGACAAAGAAATGGACAGTGACAGATCCAGGGGAGGGGGAGGAGCACCCCTCATGACTCATGATTTCTCTCGAATCCCTGAGGATGCCGTTGAAAATTTTATTTGCTGGACTTTTCATCCTCTAAATTTTGGATGGGTTTCTTTGAGAGATTTTCTTATGCAAAATTCACCCATTCCATCCCCGTCCCGCCCCGCCCCGCTCTCTCCCTCAATCCCCAGCCGAGTGAGAACTTGAGATGCTTGTCAATAATTTATTCGTTCCCTTCCCGGTTGTATGGGAACGCCGCTCCCATTCTGTCACTGTTCCAATCGCAACTGTTTCCTCTTCGTCATTTCGCAAAAAAAAAACTCAAGGAATTTTTTTATGAAGCGAGTAAGGAAATAAAGTTGAGATCCACGGAATCTCCAATTAACCTCTTCAGACCTGATGGCAAAGTTACAAGCCAATTTTGAAATCCTTTTGCTCGTTATCTCCACCTCCGATGGACAAAGCAAGGCAGCCAATATTTTTTATCCTTCTTGGTATTGGAGGAATGGAGTGGTATGTGTACATGCCGGGTCTTCCTCCGTAAGCAGTGTGCGATTGAGAACGTATGCTTTTTTTTCAGTAAAATCAAGGATATCGCATTCGAAAATGTTTCTAAGCCCTGTCACAGTCATTGCGCCAAAAATAGTAGCAATTGGGCCGGGTGCTAATTCGAAAATACGGAAGTACTGCGATACCCCGCTCCCTCCATCCCGCTGTGGCCAGTCATCCCTAAAAACTGGCTGTGGTTCTTACTTTTCCAAGTACCCGGTATTTGAACAGTACCACACGAAATGACTTCCTTGGATGACAATGACGCTTCCTGCCACGTGGCTCATCCATGTCCAACGACAGATTCAGAATTTTTTTTTTTTTTTTTTTT